TTACTATTCGTTTAAGTTTGTAGCGTTTATTGATTTCATTGAATGTATTGAAAGTAAAAATATGTTACGTCATTGAGTTGTTTTGAGTGATGATGAAATCAAGTAGTCGCTCTGATTTCGGCCTCAATGTCGTTGGCAAATAATGATCCGATTTTATATTTTTAATAAATTTCAATTAAAATTGAAAAATTCAATTTTTATTGAATTTATTAAATTTCAGAGCAGTTTTGATGCACATCTTCTATTTTGTAAAATCTTTTAATGTGAATAATAATCAAGTGTCTTGTTTCGATCATAAACGTCAAATGTGACATTTATGATCGTAACTACTTTCCATTGATTCCATACAACAAATTATTACTTATTATTCGGTTAAGTTTGTAGCGTTTCTTGATTTCATTGAACGTCATTATTAACGTCACTTTTGACGTTTAATTATTATCAAATTTACTTCATTGAAAATGGTGTCACTGTAAAACGTCTTTGACTTCAATTCATTAAATTACGTAATATTAAACTTAACTTTTGACGTTTAATTTATGAATCGTTTTACCTCATTTAAACAGTACGATTACGAAACAAGTTTCTTACTTTCAATGAAATCAAGAAACGCTACAAACTTAACCGAATAATAAGTAATAATTTGTTGTATGGAATCAATGGAAAGTAGTTACGATCATAAATGTCACATTTGACGTTTATGATCAAAACAAGACACTTGATTATTATTCACATTAAAAGATTTTACAAAATAGAAGATGTGCATCAAAACTGTCTGAAATTTTAATAAATTCAATAAAAATTGAATTTTTCAATTTTAATTGAATTTTATTAAAAATATAAACCTCGACTACTTGATTTCATCATCACTCAAAACAATTAGAATTATTATTATTATTACTGCATTTATATACACGTACGTATTGTGCAAGCGATGGAACAAATACACGTTTTCTAATATCGATTCTTCTTTTCGTGCACGAAAATGATATCATCGTGGTGGCGTTACGCGACCGCAGCTCTCATCATGTATCGGACATTAAGGCTGCCCTCTATGGGACATGCAGTTTAGAAATTTTTCGATTGCGTTTTCGGGATGTCAAACTTTCATCAATTGCATTTCTTTTGTTTTCAAAACATTGTATAGACACGTCAGCAACTCGAGACGAACAAAATATGACAATCGGAACTGTCATCTTTTGAAGGCTGTCAATATTTAGAAGTTACGTCAAATTGAAACAATGCAGCAAACCGTAGAAAAGAAAAAAGATGATTAAGACTAAAACAGAAATTGATGCATAATTCAAGCAAATAAACAGCGATTTCTTTGATATTATTATTTAGTGTCCGTATTATTTTGCGATTGATATCGTTGTTTTCGTGACTTTCTTCATTCACGCACATTGCTGCGCGTCCCTGAGAATCGTTCGATCAATTTCCGGCGATTTTGTGCAATCATCACTCACATTTGCGCTAACGCGCTTTCATCAAAGACGAAGAAACATTGTTAAGACTACAAATACATTCAATTCGATCGTATGTCGCATTCCTTCGCAGGTGAGAGGTGGACAAGGTAAAAGTATGCACGCGTTGCGCAACCACGAAGAGATTTGATTGCGAGTGTACGAGAGACGTCGCCGTTATTAACGGGTTGGAGATTTTAGCGAAAACCTGAAAAATTGGCTATCTCCATAAAAGCGGTCCCATTCGGAATGCGAGAGAGCTGCCGCCGCAACCTGTGACCTGAGACTGTCTACTACTGCCACTCACATTCCATCCATCAACAACACCAAATTTCATCTGAAGATATCTTATAAATATTGTCGCTTTGTGTTGAATCAATCTAATCTTTTAATATTGACGATTATAGATGATAGAAAATTAGGAATTATTACTAAGAAAACAATCTTAATTCTTCTTCAATTGAAAAATTAATCGCAAAAGAAAGTTAAGAGAAAAATTGATTGGATAAAACAACAAAAAAAAATGAACGAAAACAATTTGGTTGACTGAAACAAAAGTGTCAAGAAAACAAGATGGTTGACTGAAACAAAATATGTCGCGATAACAATATGGCTGTCTGAAACAAAAACGAAACAAAAACGAAACAAAAACAATTTGGTTGACTGAAACAAAAATGTTAAGAAAACAAGATGGTTGGCTGAAACAAAATATGTCGCAATAACAATTTGGTTGACTGAAACAAAAGTGTCAAGAAAACAAGATGGTTGATTGAAACAAAATATGTCGCAATAACAATATGGCTGTCTGAAACAAAAACGAAACAAAGACGAAACAAAGACGAAACAAAAACAATTTGGTTGACTGAAACAAAAATGTTAAGAAAACAAGATGGTTGATTGAAACAAAATATGTCGCAATAACAATATACCTGTCTCAAACAAAGACGAAACAAAAACAAGATGGTTGACTGAAACAAAAGTGTCAAGAGAACAAGATGGTTGACTGAAACAAAAACGAAACAAAAACGAAACAAAAACGAAACAAAAACGAAACAAAAACGAAACAAAAACGAAACAAAAGCGAAACAAAAACGAAACAAAAACGAAACAAAAGCGAAACAAAAACAATTTGGTTGACTGAAACAAAAATGTTAAGAAAACAAGATGGTTGACTGAAACAAAATATATCGCAATAACAATATGGCTGTCTGAAACAAAGACGAAACAAAAACAATATGGTTGACTAAAACAAAAATTAAATAAAGCAAGACAATTGAAAAATTGAAAGAAAATGAGGTTATAAACTAAAACTAAAGAAAATATTTTGTTTGACTAATTGACAATGAAGCAACGTTAACAAAAGCATTAAGTAACAAACAAAATAAATGAATTTTAAAATATGGTGAGAGGAGTGAGCGGATTGCGAAAACGGAATAAGATGCTCTGACAAAGCATACTAAAAAAAAGAAGAAACAGCACATTTGATTTCTAATGCAATGAATTATGAGGATTAAGAAGGCTTCCTCGAGTTACGACCATCGATAATAAACGGAATTAACAATGGGAAAGGAACGAAGCGAAATAAAATAAATTGAAGAGAAGAGAAGCAAGTAATGCACGAACGTCGTCGTCGTCATTATTATAGTAGAAAGTTTATGATTAATAACTCATTATGGAAATGATACAAATATGAACACAGTGTAAGTATGTGCAAATAAAAAAAAAAATGTGAAGAAATGGATGAAACATCGGAAGTGCGCAAAGATTCAAGTGTTTCAGTTTTGAGAGTTGTGTGAGATGTAGAAGCATTGTTTTTTTATAGCTTTCGCTCGGGAAAAAAAGATTGCGCAAGTAAAAACAAAACGGAACTAGTTATTAGAGCACGCAGAGATTTTTTATTTTCACATCAAGATTAACTAAACTTATACAATAGTTATATAATTTAAACAATATTAATAATTATTTGGTTTCGGGATCGATTCTTTTCCCGAACTCGGGATACATGAAAGCCAAAAGTTTCTTTCCATCCACGTCTTCCTCGGGATTGTACACCTTTGATAGATATAACATCTTATGACCGTCCAAAGGAAACTCTTCGAACGCGTCTTCTTCAACACTTTCATCACTTTCCAAGTCATCCATCACGTCGCCACGATGACTGTTCAACTGTGAAAAACTCTTCACACCCAGATTCTTAACGATCTCATCCGAATTCCGATTGTTCGCCGTCGTCGTAGCTTCGATCTTCAAGATCTGATCCAAAGCCTGAAGAATTCCATCCGTATTCTCGTCCAGATTCACCGCTTTCATCCCGGACGGAACTACGATTCTCGGATCCTCGAGGTTGGGTAAATCGTCGGTTTGGTATGCGACTGTACTAGGTGGAATGTATTGGTCTTCGGTGATGTTGCGGAGGATCGAGTTGAATTTAACAGCAGGTTTGTAGATGTTGAACGGTCGAGTCTTCGGGTGATCTTCGTTTTGCTTCAAATTGTGGACGAACTTTCGGAAATCTTCCGCTAAATTTGTACCGAAATTCTGCCCAATCGCTGATCCCACTTCAGTGAAGAAATCTTGCTGATTCTTCACGATCTTATCATTTTTTGGTAAATCATCGACTCCTTCGCTCAAAATCTTTTCAAGTTCTTGTATCTTTTTCTCAACTTTCGATTGATTCAATTTCGGTTTTACCAATTGACGCACATCGTACAGATCCGTTAAATTGTTGTCTTCATTGTCGAAGCTCTCTTCGGCATCTTCGTTTACCACTTTTTCGATGTCTGAATCAAAATTCAGAAAACTTTGATCGTCGGTCTTCACCAATTGGAATTCTTGTTTCTGATCAAAAAGAGGTAAACTGTTGAAGCTCAAATCTTCATTTTTCGAAACTTCATCTTCAATTACAATTGACGAAGTGGTGGTTTCAATATTCAAAGTTTTCTGATCATCATTTTCAACAAACTGGAATTCTTGCTTCTGGTCAAACAAAGGTAAACTGTTGAAGCTCAAATCTTTATCTTCTGAAACTTTATCTTCAATTACAATTGACGAAGTTGTGGTTTCAATATTCAAAGTTTTCTGATCATAATTTTCAACAAATTGGAATTCTTGCTTCTGATCAAACAGAGGTAAACTGTTGAAGCTCAAATCTTCATCTTCAGAAACTTCATCTTCAATTACAATTGACGAAGTTGTGGTATCAATATTCAAAGTTTTCTGATCATCATTTTCAACAAACTGGAATTTTTGCTTCTGATCAAACAGCGGTAAACTGTTGAAGCTCAAATCTTCATCTTCATTTCCTTCTTCAATTCCAACAGATGAGGTTGTAGCTTCAATATTTTGATCATCTTCTTTCGACAATTCCTTCACTTTTTCCAAATTCACTTCAATCTTCATCTTCCCAGCATTGTCTTCACCCAAATTCGTTCTATCCTCTTGGAATAATTTCTTCGGTTTGTAATGCGGCAAATTGCTAAAAACGAATTCCTCGTAGTGATCATCGTTAGCATTTCCAAATTTCGTTTTCTCAAATTTAATTTTATCATTCGATTGCGTCTTTTTCAAAGCTTCCTCCCTTTGCCTCTTCACTTTATCCAAGACTAACTGGAAATAAATCTTCGTATCGAAGATTTGATTGTTCTTCACGTAAGGTAACTCGTTGAAACCTTTCTCCCTGAAAACGAACTCTTCATCATCATCATCAACTTCAGAGCTTTCTTTAGATGAATGGAACTTCTGGAACTCTACAATCTTCTTTTCATTAGGTAGAACACCGTAAAACATTGTAGCTGGAGGTGACTTATCTGGTAAACGATCCATGATCTTCTGGTTCATCCCATCAACATCTCTATACCTATCGAGTAAACCAAGATGAGTTTGTTGAAATTCTTGCAATCTTCCTTTATTTGGTAACACTCCATAGAACATGGTAGCTGGAGCTGACTTATCTGGTAAAAAATCCATGATCTTCTGGTTCATCTCCTCAAACTCCTTAAACATTTCACGATGAAGTAAAGAATCGAAACCAAAATTTTGTTTCACCGACTTAAAATCTTGCAATTTCTCTTTGCTCGGTAAAACCCCGTAAAACATGGTAGCTGGAGGTTCACCATCATCAACAGACGTTAACTTATTCTCAATCTTCTGGTTCATATCAGCAAAATCGTTGTACTTATCGTAGAGAGGCAAAAAATTGAATCCATAATATTCTTCATTGAAATTACCAATTTCCTCTTCACTCTTCGCAACTGTTGATGTTTCAGCATTCAACAACAGATCATTAACAACATTCTCCGAAAAGAACGGATGCAATCTCTTAACGTTCGGCACAACACCGTAAAACATCTCTTTGGGTGCTTCCGCATCGAAAACTTTCCTATTCATTTCGGAATGAACAGTTTTGAACCAGTTTTCGGTGTCGTAACTGTTGAAATTCGAAGAAAACTCTTGTGGATTTAACAACATAACTTTTGGTTCTTCGAAATCTTTGTTGATGTTAACGTGCGGTAAATAATTGAATTGGACATCTTCGTTCTTCGATTCATCTTTTGGAGCAACTTTAGAAACTTCTTTCTTCTTTGTTATATAAGAAACCACTTGATCCTTCACCGATGCAGGTGATTCTTTGATCAATTTACCGATCGGTTTTGGCTCCAAGTAACTGTTGAATCTCTTCGGTTGATGATTGAAGTACGAAAATCCTTCGAAATTCGGAGAGATTTGCCTGAAACGCGATACAGCGTTCTCAAAGTAATTGCTGTTCAAATTCCGTTTAACGCGTTTCTTCATCGGCGAAGCAATCAACGATTTATTGACAACGACGTACACGAACTTCTTCGGCTCTGTAGCGTTACTCAAAACAAACTTTCCGCTATTGTTGATGTGCTCTTGTATGTTGGTTAAGACTTCGGAAACGTTCTTGAAATTCGATTTGGTATCTGAAGCGTCCCAATCGATCAACGTCGGCACGTAATCGAATTCAGCCGAATCGTTGAAACTCTTCAGCGCTTTGAAGATTTCCGGCAAAGCCGGATTTGGCTCATCCTTCAGATTGGCATTTTCCAACTCCTCGACCGGGTATTTCTTGAACAGACTCACGCTAGGACTCTCAACTGTTCTGCTCGACTCAAACGCCATCTGTACTGAATTTGAAGTAACCACTTTTGGTTTAACAGTTTTCCTCTCAGATTTGTCTTCAATCTTCAAAAACGCAGTTGATTTCTTAGGAAACTGAACCGTTTTTCTCATCAAAGCTTCATCGTTCCTTGCAAGTAACTTTTCATTAGCAATTACTTGCGCAGCTTCATTTTTCCTCATTAATTTCAATCTTTTATCGGACTTCTTCGAACTACTTTTCGTTTCTGGAAGGATTTTAGCCCCGAACTCTTTGAAATCTTCATCGTTATAATCTTCAGGATAAACCAGAAGCAAATCATCATCGTACGGATCAAAGTTGCTATCAATCAAATCAGGTTTCACACGGAAACTTCGGAAATTCGACGGTTCATTTACAGAATCTTCCAATACGGATTCATCTTTGAATTCTTCATTTTCATCTGTCTCTGGATTGATCTCAATTTTCAGTAAAGTTTTCGTTAAATGATCACCGTCATCTGTTGGTTCAACGGTTGCGTTCAAAATTTCAACTGATTCCTCGAAATTGCTATCAGATGTCGCCTTCTCAATCTTACCGTTAGAGTCTGCAACCTCAGTAACATCATCTACGTCAATCAAGGATACTTCAAAATTGTTACTTTCACTCGATGCTTCTTGGATTGTTGTAACTTCAATTGAAGCTTCTTCACTCAATGTTGAAATCTCATCCATTAAAGTTGTGGTTTCTTCATCTGCAGCTTCGGTTGTATACCTTTCCAATTCCCGTCCATCTTCACTTGAATTCGCAGTTCTATCATCTAAATCTGTTACATCAGTTACATCTACAATATGTTCAAATGCACTAGATATTGTAGTTACATCAATTTCTTCTGTTCTTTGATTGGTCGACAATTCTTCAGTAGATGGTGCTTCACTGGGCGTCATTGTTGTATAGACAACTTCATTAACATTTTCCATTAACGATTCGTAATCAGTCAACTCTGGATCGGCAACTTCAGAAACATCATCTTTTTCAGTGACATCTACAATATTAACATCGAATTCCTTTGTTGGCACCACATCAGCATTAACTTCAGTCGTTTCATTGGATTTATCGTTTAATTCGGAATCAATCGTTGCAACATCATAAGCTTCAGATTTTTCAGTCACATCCACAATATTAACATCAAATTCTTCCTTTGGTACATCATTAGAAATTTTGCCAATTTCCATTAACGTATCTGCAACTTCACTCACTCGGGTAATCCGCAATTCCTCCTCAACTGATAAAACTTCAGTCGCACATTCTTCATTGAAATCTTCGTCATCAGATGAAATTTTCAAATTTTCGTTTCCATAAACATTTTCATCATCATCAGTTGAGTATTTCAGATTATCATTTTCTTTAACATCATCAGATGAAATCTCCTGATTATCAATTTTCGCATCTGCAACTTTACTCACTTGGTCAATCCGCAATTCCTCCCCAGTCGAAAAATCATCAATAAATAGAGACGAATCCGTGCTGAAATCATTCTCAATCACCACTTGGATTCCAACAATCTTCGTTTTGCGATTATCACCTTCGCTTGAATCACTCAATACATCATCAGGTACTATTGTAGTAATTTCGATATCGTCCAGAGATGGCGCTTCAGTAGAAGTCGTAACAATTTCATTTAAATCTGTAGTCATCACATTATTCATTAAAGATAAATCAATAAAATCAATCTCCTGTTTAAATTCATCAGAATTCGTCAGATCAAAATTAATTTCTTGCATTTTTTCGTCAGGATTAGAAGCGTTAATCTCTTCGATCAACTTTCGAATATCAGCTTTGATCTGCTCGATTTCTTCGTTGGCCTTTTCGATTTTTCTCAACAGAATTTCTTGCTGCGTTTCGCGTTTCTGATTCCTATGGCTCCTCTGATCCAAATCGAATTTGAAATAGAAATTCTTATTGATGGTGGATTCGGGGAATCGGCGAGAATCGTCGGAGATTTTGTAAGAATCCGCGTATTTTCGCGTGGTGATCTCCACCGGAATTGGTCCTGATAAATCTACGTAATAATCGCTGCGTTTTGGACGAGTTTCGATTCTTCTCAAATTGTTAGAATTCCCTTTGGTGAATCGTATCAAATTCAAGTGTTTTAAAGCTTCCAATTGGCTGTTTTTCCTGACAGGTTCAGAAGGAAGGTAACCTAAGATGAAATTGCACGTCCTCATCAACAATTTGATGGCTTTTCGTTGAAGCAAAAGGTTCTCTTCGGCGACCGCAGCGTTGTAGAGATTCTTCAGCAATTCGATTCCGCTTCCATCGAATCCCATCGCATCCATAAAACCCAAAGCGTTATCCACTACACCGCCAAAATCCAAGGCCAATCTTCTGCTTCTAGAGCCGTCATCGCAGTGTGCGTTGTGAATGGTTGCTATTAGCAACAAAAACTAAACAATTTTGTTTTTAAATTGATGCGAATTTAAAAATAATTTCGAGACTCACTTACCGCCAGTATTCGCATTTTCGAAGCACTTGCTCACCCTTCGACGTGGATCAATGAACTGACTTGGATTTTTCATCCAAAATGTTTCGGAGACGATTTTTCGAAACTTTCTCCCCAATTTAAACCCTTTTTAAAAGCGGATTAAGGAAACTTTCTCGAGTGTTCAGGGAAATCATTAGAGAAACACTCGGAACGTGCACTTTGCATAAGTCAAATATATATTTAAGGTGATTAAATACAAGAGGGAAAAATTATGTACATCCGTTTCCATTTTCCAAACAAAAACGAAAATTCGAGAATTTTTCTTTTACAATTTAAGCAATTTAAAAAATTTTTCCTTTCAGGTAAAAAGACTAAATCTAAAAAATATGTATAATATAAGTGTGTGTGTGTTTGTTTGTTACAGTTAGGAGAGGATTCGTTAATATTATTATTATTATTCGTAAATATTTGTTTAGTTTTTTTTGGTTTAAAAATGTTTCAATATAATTTTTAATTTAATTAAAATTGCGAGTCCGTTCTGAAAAATCGAGTAACCTTGGGTACATTTAGCGTGCGTCGTCGTCGTCATTTGTTTATCCCGTATCGTAAATGTTTGCATCTTCATCTGTTTCCTAAACTTCCAAGCTCACTTTAATTTTTTTTTGTTTCTCTTCCAACAACATTTCTCTTCTTCCCTTCACCATCGCGTGACGCGCATTCATTTATTCAAAAACAAAAACAGAAACAAAAACAAACAAAAAAAAAAGCCTAGGGTTATTGTCGAAAGTAACCGTAAACAACTTCAAATCGAAATTGCAACGTTGTAAATTTATATAACAAATAACCATGGTTACTTACACTTTGATTGCACAATCAAAAAAAAAAGTCACTAAATAGAAACCAAACCATTACCAATTTTGTAATCAATTCAATTGTAACATTTCTTTTCATCTCCATGGTTACTTGTATTTATTTTACGTTTTAAATAAAACGAAAACAATCGAAGTGATTTGGAAACAAATTCTTGTTTGAAGACGCAAACATTCTTTGATTATTTTTTTTTTTTTAGATTATTAATATTAAATTTTTAAACATAATTATTGTTCTTTAAAGTCTTTTTTTTAGTTATTTGTTTATACTAATATTATTTTAAAATTTAGCAATTAAAAAACAGATAAAGCGCTTAAACTTTACTAAAACTCATAATTATAATCTAATCTAAATGTCTTTTTTTTTTGTTATTTTTTTTTTGAAGTTGATGAAATTTGTAGGAGTTCTACATAAGTTGTCGGTTAATTCGTGTCGTGTCTTGTTTATTGTTATCGTGTTGCGTTTATTGTGGGATTTCCCTCTTGTAGAAGAGCTTCTGCTCCGGGTGCCACCTGGGTGGAGCATCTTGGGCTTGGTACTCTTCCTTCTCGATTTCGCTCTCCAACAACTGCACAACATAAAATTTCGATTAAAAAAAAAGCACAACTTTCGCTCGTAAACAATCTAATTAATCGATTGATTAAGTTTTATTAGTTAATTGAATGGACAACTTTCGTATAACTTTCATTCATAGAACATTCATTCATTAACTAAAACGATTTGGTAAAACGTACAGAACTTTCATTAAACGAACACCAAATTTAATCATTCGTTAACTGAAATTGTCATTAGTTAATTGGAAATAAGTAAGAGTCGTTAAGTTAATTGGATTTTCTTGTGCTAATGTGCAGTTAATTCTATTTTAAAGTCAATTTCTAGAAAATCTTTGAATTCTATTTGCAAATTTATGTGTTTCTAGAAATCGTCTGTAGAAACTATAGTTTTCTTCGCTTTTTTTAAACAAGTTTTCTCTGAATTTTACGTAATTATAGAGTAATTGAATAATTTTTACAATTATTTTTTTTAGTAATTTCTTCAGTTTATAATTAGTTTTATTATCGAAATTTAAGCTAAATTCAATGATTGTGTTTGATTGAAATTTGCTGATAAATTTTAAATATTGGAATTTTCAGTAATGTTTTCAGTTTTTGGAAAATTTCTTGAAAACTGTTGAATTTAATAGAAAGTTTTCAAATTAAGTTAATTGTGAATTTGAAATAATGAATTTTTATCAATATCTTTAG